CTGGGAAAATCCTGGCCGGCAGTGTCTGTTTATCAGGGAAGCTGAGTCAGACGCCGAACTATCTTCTGAAAAGCTCTGCTGTTTCTGGAATTTCATAGGTCAATGCCAGGCCCCAAACGCCTTCCTTTTCCCTGGGGAATTCCTTTGGGGGAGGGGGACGGGGGGGGGGGGGGGGGGAGAGACAGGAGACTAGAACCAGCAGTCCGAGTTTTTGCCCTTTTATGGACTTCGAAGCCCCCTCCCCCACCCTAAGATGACTCATTCCCCTAGCTTGACCCAGAGCCCCTGGAGAGGAGAAGGGTCAAACTGAGAAGGTGAGATCAGCTGTGGAGGGGGTTGGAGGCTGGGAGAAAAGGGAAAAGACGACTGAAAAGTGTGGGGAATTCTTTTACGAAGCAACCTCTGAGGGGAGGATTTTTAGAGGCGAAAGGAGGCAGAATGAGAGAGAGAAAGGTTCTATCCCAGAGGGAAGCCGCATACCCAGGGGCATAAAATTCCTCTAAAGAGGTAGGCCAAGGGCCCTACCTGGAGTAAGTTCTCAGACTTCAGTGTGAGCAGAGCCACTTGCTGGGCTTGTTAAAATGCAGATTCCCGGGCCTTCAGTGGGCTGTGCCCAGGCTCCCCAGAGACCTGAAGCCGGAAGGCCTGAAGCACAGGAAGAGGCCTGGGAATCCGGGAGCTGGCTCCTTCTCCCAGCTTCGGTTGGACAAGGCAACTCCCATCCCCTCTGCCAATGTCAGATGCAGAGCCCTGGCCCAAGGATGACATTTCTAACATCCTAATAAAACCTGTGAAAGCCTTTGAAGGTGTGCAGCCATGGAGCTGGAGGGTCTCGAGGAGTCTTCCAGTCCCGGCCTCTCATTGCACAGGTAGGGAAACCAAAGCTCAGGAAGGTTCGACCGCATGAAGGGCCATTTCCCCCAACCTTCTCCTGCCACCCCAGGAGAAGGCCCTTGATCTTCCTCTGGAGCGGGAAGCCATCCCAAACAGGCAAGACTGCCTCCCCAGCTCGGCACCACCCACCTGCCCCGCTTTCAAGCTTTTACAAGCAACTCATCAGCCTTGGGAAGAAGCGCTTTCCGTTCAATAAAATCCCAGAATCTTTACAACTAACGATCTTCAAGTCATCTCGTCTGATTTTCCATCCAAAGCAGAAATTCCTTCTCACAACAGCTCCTAAATCTCTATCTCTAACTCATGTCTCTTTCCCAGATTCCAGACTCTTATCTCCGCTGGAGGTCTGAGTGCTCCCGACTTCCCCCACGCCCTCCACCTGCAGGCCTTCCTGTCTCAGCTAATGGACACACCACCCTTCAAGTCCTTCAGGCCAAAAGTCATGGAGTTGACCCCCACTCCCAACCCTGGCTATTCTCAACAAGCAGCTGGAGGAATTTTTTTAAATTGGTAAGTCAGACCATTCCACTCCCTTTGCTCATAGCCTCCACAGGCCCCCCATTTCAGTCCGAATGAAAGCCATGGCTGGATAAGGGCTCACAGGGCCCTGTGTGATCTCCCCCACCCCCTCATTTATCTCCCTCAGCCCCCTCTCTGCCACTCTCTCCTGCACTCACTCTGCTCCAGCCTCCCTGGCTGTTCTAGAGCTGCCTGACCTGCTCCTGCCTGAAGGTCTTGGTGCAGGCTGGTCCCTCCCTGGAGCACTGCTCCCCCAGACACTGACTCCGTTAGCTCCCTCCTCTCCTTCAGGTCTTTGCACAAGGGTCCCATCGTCAGTGAGTCCCCTGTTCACCCCTATTTACAGTTTTATTCTTTGTCCCGTCCATCTCTGTACCCCTTCATTCTCCTAATATTTATGACCTGCTAATATACTATATAAGATACTTACCCATTATACCACTGCTTTGTCTTTCTTCCTCTGTTACAATGGAAGCCCCATGAGGGTAGAGATTTTTGTCAGTTTTGTTCGCAAATGTGAACGGAGCCTAGAACAGTGTACACTGCAGGCACTCAGTGGATAGACCCTTACTGAAGGAAGGAGTGAACGCATCCTGCAGGTGACTGCTTTTTCAAGCTGGACCCTGCGTCTCGGTGGCCCCCACCAAGGTGGAGTCCTGCTGTCTGAGCCATGAGGCTACCCATCTACTCCCTTGTTCAGAAGGCCACCCCTGTCATCTGTTAGGGGATTTCCCCAAGTTCTCTTCCTCTGCCTAGAAGTCCCCAGGCTCTTCAGCTCACCCTTCGTCCTGGGTGCATCCTGCTCATCAGGACATGCTCTGGCTGTCAGTCGCTCTGCAGATCCTGACTCACAGAGCTGACTGAGGAGCTCCAGAGGGTGTGGGCTCTGTGCCTTGCAGGGCACTGCTGCTCCCACACTTCTGAACCCCCATTTCCCTTTACTTGAGCCCACCAGGAGGGCCCAAGGCAGCCTGGCTGGATTGGGGCCAAGGGAGAAGTGAAAGGGTTGTCCTGATAGTGGGGACAGGCCAGAATGCCCTGGGGGTGTCCCTCCTTGCACAGGGAGGACCTCTGCACTACCCAGGGAGGGGGTCCACTCGGGGACAGTCTGGATGGACTTGCCTGGGAAAGGGCTGAGGACAGAGAGAGGATCTGACCAAGAGGTTTCTTGTCTTGGTCTCAGAAGGCCCTTTCCTGTCTCCCAAAGTTGTCCCCTGCAGTCGCAGTTGTTGTCTGGGTTATTCACATTCCAGAAGTGCTGTTGTGGCACTAAATATTCCTAGGCTCCAGCCTTCTCCCCGTGGGCCCCACGTCACCTCTCTGAGCCTGCTTTCTGGGATGTTTTTGGTATGAAGCATCCTGGCAGGTGAGGGGAAGGGCCCTGCAGCAGCGATCCGCAGCCCAGGCTAGGTCTCTTTGGGGCCAGATAATAGATATTCTCTTCCCAGCCAGACTCTCCTTTCCCATTAGGCTCCCCCACATCCACCCTGTCTCCCCGCCCGCCCCTCCCAGCTCCTGGCCTAGAAGAAGACGTTAAGCAAACAGAGCACAAAGAGGACAAAGATCTCAGGACCAAACGCCTCCACTTTTCCCCTCCTTCACTGAAGTCCCCCCGCCCCCCACTGAGATTGTGCTGAGGGACAGGGCTGCAGGGTCTGTGGCCGCGCCCTCCCCCATCCCACACCCTGCTTTCCCTCCTCTGTGGCCTCCCTTCTCCCCTCCTGGCCACTTCAACTTCTCCGTGATCCCACTCAGTCCTTCCTTTCCAGCTCCCTTTGGGGCTTGTGGAGATGAGGGGAGAGCATTTTAGCAGAAGGAATTGCTGTATTCCTTGCGCCTGCAGAAGAGCACGGCGTGTAATAGATGCCCGATAAATATTGCCAGTTCCATTCACCGATGTTCTCTCCCGCGCTCTCCAGCCAAATGCAGCTTAAATGACCCCCCTCCCAGGCTAAGGTCTGGCATCCCACCTGGCTGTGGGGTCTGGTTTTCCCATTTGCTAGCTAGGCAAGTTATTTAATGTTTTTGAGTCTCAATTCTTCTTCTGTAACATGAGAATGATAAAGATTGTAACAAACTAACAAGGTTATCTCTCAGGAGCATTAAATGAGATAACACGGACAGCATAGGCACTTCCTAAATGGTAGCCCCTATCATCTCCTCCGTTGCAATTTTTTTCTGTCACCCAAACTCCCCTTCAACATTATCTGAACTGACATTTTCTCCATTGAACTTTACTTATTTTTATGCAGGCTAGCTTGCTGTCCAGTCTGCAGCCTCCTTGAGGCTAAAATCTTGTGTTGCACCAAAGACTCAGCAATTACCTCTCTCTTCCATAGAGCTTAGCCCGCAGTAAGGCTGAATCCTGAGCTGAATGAATAAATGAGCACAGACACCCCCACGGCTGAACCCCGTGCTTCGTGAGGGGAAAGACCCCCCCCACCCCGTCTATTTTTCTGATGTCTACCTGGAGTCTAGCCCAGCGCTCCAGCACTCAGTAGGACCTCAAAGGTTTTAGCCTTTAGTTGAGCAGTTGTAGCCTAAGCCATTTCTTGTTTGCTCTTGCATCTTGACCCCACAGTTGCCTCGCCTCCCCACTTCTCCCCCAGACTCAGCAACTTTGCCAGATGCAGGGCGGGGAGGGAAGGTCCAGAGCTGCAGGCACCCATGGCTGCAGGAGGACAGGTGTGCTGCCGAGCGGGGAGCTGGAGCTGCGCAGGCCCGCCAACACCAGAAGAGGGAGGGAGCCAGCCGGCGGCCTGCCTGCACTTTGTCCTTATCCTCCCTTTCATCCTAGCCCTCAGAGCCAGAGTTTCTCAATGGAACAGGCGTGCAGGGAATGCTCTGCAGGGGGCTGAGAGGGTTGGCCTACGAGGGGGGCATTCCAAGCATTCTTTACTGCCTCTCTGAGTCAGGCGGTGGGGGCAGAGAGGGGAGCAGCTGCACAGCACTGGAGGAAAGCGGATTTCTTTGGAGGGAGAGAATAAAGGCAGTGGGGGCGTCTTCAAACAGCAGGGGACAGAGCTGGAGCGGGGAGGAGGGGATGGAGGATGGGGGAGGGGTGGGAGAAGAGGGAGGGAAGGATGGGGGCGGGGCTGTATAATCTGCCAAACCCAGCTCTTCCTTCAGTGCTAAAGGCAGGAAGAGCAAATTGGGACCCTCAGCCCAGGGCTCACCCACCTGCGTGGTCGACAGGGCAGAAGTGCTGATAGAGGTATAACGGGGAGATTTCAGAGCTAAGAGCTGGGTTTTTTTTGTTGTGTTTTGTTTTTATTAAGCAGGCTCTCTGTTTCCCATCCGTGACAGCCCAGGGGGCGTGTGTCAAGAGAAGGTTCCAAGACTTGCGTCCCACCTCCCCGAACAGAACAGCAGAGGCTACTTTCCCATCACTGTTCTGGTTTTTAACGGAGTGGTTCTTCCCGGCCACAGAGGAAGGGAAGAGGCACTATCAGGTAGGCAGAATTGGGCGTGGAGCGAGGGAGCCCGAGACCCCATCCAAACAGTGCAGTGGGACATGGATTTAAAAAAGGGCCCCCCCTTTCCCACCATCAGCAGGAAATCACTGCAAAAATATCACTACACAAAAGTTAGATGTCATAGTGGATTTCCCCAGAACATAGTATTCACATTACTGAAAACAGCAAGACTCACTTTTTTAAAAACACAGAGCTGAAAACATAAAAATAAATAAGGACATTCCAGGGGCCTGAAAGTCCAGAGAAACGGACGTGTCCATTCTCAGTGGCAAGAGCAACTTGGAGGCCAGAGAAGTTCAGAGTCTTTGAGGTCCAAGGTGGGCTCCAGGAGAACCTGGGCCCTTTGAGATGAAGTCCAAGAGCAGCCTGAGCCCTTCAAGTCTTTCAGATTCACAGCAGCAACCTCAGGAGGCGTGGGCCGGGTTTGCGGGATGGGAAAGGGGAGAGAACCTTTGAGGAAACAGAGGTTGTGTTCTCTTACTGCTAGGATAAATAAGGGAGGGTGCACTCTAGGAGACCACTCCCAGGGCCCCCAGGCACCTTAGGGGGTGCCACATGCCAGGTTTAGAGCTCGGTGGGGTTGGGAATGTAGATATGCACTTTCCATCCCCACCTTGCCACGGAGGCATCCCGCACAAAACTTACTCATTGCAATAAAGCAGATGGGCACTGACAGAGCGCTCTTTCCAGATCCCCAGGGCTTACTTGCATATGAGAAACAGGAACCTGGCCTTGGCCGCTGGCCTTCCCTTCTACTTCTCTACTCTGCCCCTCTACTATCTCCTTGGTTTGACGGAGCTGAAGACGTTAAACCCTCTATGCATTTCACTTGCCCATTTCCCACATCCAGCCCTCCCCAGGGCTCAACTGCAAACCACCTCAGCCTTCTGGGCTGGGATGCTGGTCCTGGGAGGCAGGGGAGAAGGCAGTCTCCCCTCAGGGTGCAGCCAACTGCATCTTAGAGCCTGCCTGGGTAAGGCAATGCCCCGCCCGCCCTCAGCTGAGCTTTGAGTGGACGCCTAGTGCCTGTCGGTAGGTCTCCGTGACCTCCTGGCAGTCTGTCACAGAAAAGCAGCTATCCCCCAGGGGGTCCTGCCACCAGCACCTCAGGCCCCTGCTTCCAGGGCCCTCTGAGGGGGGCTCCTCAAGCCCCATGAGGTTGTCCACAGATACACAGCCCCGCAGTGGGGGCTCGGGGAGCCGTTCGGGCAAGTCCAGCTGGTCAAAGGACTCAGAGGACAGGATGCTGTCCTCACTCACAGCCCCTGAGGGGTGACTAACCCGGGCCGGGGGGCGAGGTGAGGCCAGTTCATCCAAGGAGCCGAAGGTGGCGGGGGTGGTGAGCTCCGAGGCTGTGCGGGAGAACCTGCCGTTGTGTTTGAGGATGCCCTTGCGATGCAGGAGCAGCCCTGAGGCTTGCAGGGGCTTCTGCTTCACAGAGTCCCCACTTACAAACACGTCCCCCGCATCCAAGAGCTCCCCCGACTCGCTGGGTTCAGGAGACGAGTAGTAGCCGGATTCCCGCTGCCGAGACTTCTTGAGGATGCCCTTCCTGGGGAGCAGGGCGGCAGCCTGTCCTGGGCTTGTGGGGGCAGGGCTGAGCGCAGGGTCCTCCCGGGTCCCCTCCAAGGAGGTCGATGCCTTCTTCTTGAGAATGCCCTTTGGCAGCTTGAGGTTGCCCTTGCCAGGGTGAGGGGAGGTGTCGTCAGCCGGGTCCCCCTGGAGAGACTGGGCCATGTCATTCTCTTTGCGAGACTTCTTGAGTGAATGCTGGCGCTCCAGGCCGGGGGCAATGCTCCCACCTCCAGGAGCATGCTGCTTGAAGAAGCTGCATACCTTGGCTCCGTTCTCCAGGAGGGGGCGGGAGGACCGCCGGAGCCAGTCAGCCACGGAGGCCCGGCCAGAGTCGCTGCCAGGGTGCCCTCCCTCATGCAGAGCCTCCTGCTCACTGACACGGGTGGTGTAGCCCCAGTTGACCCACCAGTGACTAGCCACATCCTCTAGGGTGGCCCGGCGGGTGGGGTTCACCATTAACAGCCACCGGATCAGGCCACAGGCATCTGGAGGACAAAAGACAGAAGCTTCGGATGGGCAGCCATGAGAATGGACCCCACAGCCCCTCTCACTGACCGACCCCCATTTGTGCTAAGACGTTGCTCACTCCTGCGTCAGAGACGTCCACTCCACCTAGGGCTCCTCTCGCACCCAGCCCAAGTGGCTCCCTACAGCCTCCAGCTTTCCTGGATGGGTTCTGCCAATTTCCTCTCCATCCCATGACCCCTCAGGCCCATGGCCCCCTCCCTAGCTTGCTTTGTATGTTAGTATGGATCCCCTTCTCTCCCCTGAAATGCAGCCCTCTTAGGGTAGAGACTGTGCTCAAAGGTAAACCAAGGTCCTCACACCCTTCTTCCTGCCTTCTACATCATACGTGAAAGGAGAGAAAGATTTCTAAGGATGAGGACAAAAGCAGTAGGAACTGAGACTATTGTAGCAAAGAGGATCTAAGTTAGACCTCAGGAAGCACTTTCCAAATATAATAAAGCATGCTTGAGATATCCCTTCCTTCCTTGGAGGTCCCAGGCACTGGAAGCAGAGAGATGACAGCAGGAGATGGGGTGGAAGGTACCCTTATCTACAGGGGGCTGCCCTCTTCACTTTGTTGCCACTGTCTAACTTCTGCCTCAGGAATCAGCGAGGGACACCAGGTTCTGGACGAGCACACCCACACCTCTCACTCACCAGAGGGTTTAGGCGGCTCCCGGTAGGCCCCGTTACTAATTTGTTTCACCAGCGTCTTATGGTCCTGCCCGTCAAAGGGCATGGCGCCATGCACCAGGATGTACAGGAGAACACCCAGGGACCAGCTGTCCACCTGAGAGAGAGAGAGAGAGAGATCAGCGGGGATGCCCATGTGCCGCAGGCTGGATGGCTTCCAGCCTCACCTCCAACACCAGCGAAGAAAGGGGTGCACACCGGAGAACTCAGAGGCCAACGCATCTGAGGCCCACCTCCCTCCAGTGCCCAGTGCAGAGGGGGTGGCGCTGCAGAAGGGACTGAGGTTCCCGGGCAGAGTGCTGTCCATCACTTGGCCTTGGAAGGGGCTGCTGCAAGCACAGAACAGTGGCGAGGTCACCCCTTCTGGGCCAGGAGGGGGTGGCTGTGACAGACAGTGCCTCTCCAGGGAGGCTGGCTGGGTGCCAGGAGAGGTAATGGGAACTAGGAGGGTGAGAGGGCACAGAACTAGACTGGGGGTCAAGAGACGTAAGTTCTTCTAGTTTTGCCGCTCCTGGCTAGAGACCCGGCAAGCCACTGCTTTGGGGTAGCCCACTTCTCTCACAGGTTCTAAAGTTGCAGCAAATGGCTGAGGTGGGCTGGTGGAGGGCAGGCACTCACCTCTGGGCCTGTGTAGGGCTTTCCGTTGACGATCTCGGGTGAGGCATAGAGGGGGCTCCCACAGAATGTCTGCAGGAACTTGCCTTGGTGGTAGAGGTTGGAGAGGCCAAAGTCAGCAATCTGCAGGACGGGGTCAAACAGGGGCAGGGGTCACACCAAGGCCTGGGTTGTTCTGCAGCTCTCGGATTGCCCCTTCTAGACTCCGGGGAAACCCAGGCCCCAGCAGGAGGTCAGGGTGCCCATAACCTCTACCCCACACTGGGCACTGCCAACACAGCTCAGGCCCCGGAAGAAAGAGCCCTGAGGAGGTGGTGTCAACAAGGAACGCCTACGCAGGGGTATGTGGGGGCTCCAGGGTCCTCACTCTTCTCGGGCCCCTTTGCTCACGCCGTACTCCACTCCAGGGCTGCTCTCTCCTGCCTACACATCCTCCTGATCCAGCAAGCCCACCTCTCCTGCTAAGCCTTCCACTGCCCTGAGGTCTTCTTCTGCCACAAAGCACTGCAGTTTCCAATAGCTTGCTGTAGCCCTGCTAGTCAGTTCTGTCTCCTCACACTGCCGTGTCAATACATTCCCTATGCTGACCTCCTTCTGCCCCCAGCCCTCTGCAGCTCCTCGCACAGGTGTGACCTATGGCTGGGACTCAGTGGACCGTTACTGATTGAAGGAAGGGTCTACCAGATGGAGGGGACAGTCAACTTCTTGGGCCAACGCCACGACCCTCAGAAGCCAGCCCACCCATCACTGAATGACCATGCAAGATCTGGGCTGCCCTTCCTAGCAAAGGGCTCATCTCTGCCCACACATGGGCAGGAACATGGTGGCATGAACCCAGGGTCAGCCCAGTATAGCTGAGAAGCAACAGTGAGGGCCGAACAAAGATCAGGGCTATGGCTATAGCCGAGGAGAAGAAATCTCCTTACATGACTCTCTGAGCAGCTGACACTGAGGGTTTGAGAGGCCCCAGCCCCAGCTCTCACCCCGAGAGAGACCTTTCCCTGACTATCCTCAGATAGAGGCAGAGGCTAATGCCCTGCACTGCTCCGACCTCTTAGCCCCAGCAGAGGGTCATGGGTGCCCAGAATGGGGAGGGGCTGTTTATGTAACTCAGGCTACTTCGTTTATGGTTTTATTGGCCTCTTATCAAGCAGTTACCAGTTGAAGCCTATAATGAGGCAGATGATTGGTACAGATGGGAAAGTTCGTGCCTGCCCAGGCTGTGTGGGTTTATTAGCTCTGGCTTCCCTCCCCCTGGTCAGCATCAAAGCGAGCCCCACCTGCTCCGGGAATGGGCTGGGTAAAGGGAATGAACTCAGTGCCAGGGCGCCTCAGGGCACAGGTCAGGGGCCACTGGAGGAAGGACTATGTCCTGGGTTCAGGAAGATTCCGCGGAGGGTCCAAGTGCAGAGTCAGAGCCCCCCAGGGACCTGCAGGGAGCAGCCCTTGCCGTCTCCCCCTTCCAGCTCTGATCTGAGTCCATCCCATCAGCGTGAACTTCTCAGACCTAAATTTAACCGCTTAGACATGGGAATGCAGCAGCTGCAGAAAGCTGGGGCTGGAGTGCTCAGTCTGTGGGGAAAGGTGCCAAACAGCTACCTAATTACAGAAGATTAAAGTGCACGTGTGTGTTTGTGTGTGCACGTGCGTGTGTGCGTGCATGCAGGTGGGGAGATGAACTCAGGCCGTGGCCCTCTCCCTGCCAGCCCCAAGGTTGGGAGCCAAAGGCGACCCTAGATCCTCTCACCCTGTGACATCAAGAGCACTGATCAGGGAGTCAGAAGACCTTGGTTCTCGCCCAGCCTCAGCCAGAAGCTAGCCAAAGACCTTGTGCAAGTCATCCCTTATTTAGAGGCCTCAGTTTTCTATCCATAACATGAGGCACTGGACTAGATGACAGCTGAGGGCCCTACCAGTACTAACAAACAAATCTGAGCTTTGCTCAACTCCTTCTGGAAGCTCCTAGAGGCTCAGAGATAATTGATTAGGGACAGTGCAAAAAGACTGGGGATAGGTGCGGGAGCCGCTGGAAACGAGAAGTGGGGCTCACCTTGATATTTCCATTGGCATCTAAGAGGATGTTCTCCAGCTTGAGGTCCCGGTGGACAACACCATTCTGAAAGAGGGAGGGAGGAGGTCAGGGGAAGCTCACAGGGGAGGGAAAGACAGGAGGACCTAGTCTGGGAAGTGAGGTAAACACAAAGCGAGCCAAGCAGGGTGAGCACAGGTAGGCTGGGAATACTTTCTTTATTGGGACTTAGAGCAACAAATCATAGGCCCTTCCATCCCGGGCAAGAGAGTCAAGACCAGAGACACTGACTCTCCCTAGGCTGAGGCCAGAACCTAGTCTTGCCTCTGCTTCTGTCTCCCTGTGTGATCCTGGACAAGTCATGGAATCTCTCTCGGGCAAACCAGCCCCCAAGCCCCAGGGACCACCCCACCAGAAGGGTGCTCACCTGGTGGCAGTAGTGCACGGCGGAAACGATCTGCCGGAAGAAATGCCGGGCGTCGCGCTCGCCGAGCCGCTGCCGCTCGCTGACGTAGTCATACAGGTCGCCTCTGCTGGCGTACTCCATGACAATGACGATCTTGCTGCTGCTCTCAAACACTGGGGCAGAGCAAGAGGGCAACGTCAGGCTCCTCAGAGTGCACTGCTTCCCACAGGGGCCACGCGCTCCTCCCCGGACCCGGACCCGGACCAGACAGGGCCGCCCTGCAGGGATGTCTGCTGACAGGGCAGGAGAAGGTGCTCTGAAGCAGACAACATCTTCCAGGAGCAACAAGATAAGGCCAAGAGAACTGGCTCCGTCCCTTTCCTTGGAAGTTCAGGCTTTTGAGGATCTTAAAACTACCCTGCAAACTCCCAGGAAGGCCGAGACACCCCTGGATGAGAATGAAAAGTCAGGCTCTCTGGTTCAGAATCCAGTGCTTCCTCGGCTTGTGACCTTGGGCAAACCTGTTCTAGATACATCAGTAAGAATGCAGGTCTGGAGTCTGAATCCTGACCCCATCACTTACTAGCGGGGTGACCGTGGCAAGTTATTCATCCACTGTGCCTCAGTTTCCTCATTGGAAAAGCGGGATAATAATGGCAACCTCACAGGGCTGGGGTGAGAAATAGATAAAAGACAGTGACAGCTTTGGGTCTGGCCGAGCAAGCTGACAGAGGGTCTGACACACAAATGAGCACTCTACAAATGGTACCTCCTGTTGTATTTATTAGGTGCATCCTCAAGCATAAACTTGATAATAATGCCTGCCTTGAGGATCAGAAGAGGGATAAAATTCTATGAAAGTGATTTGCGAACTATAAAGCACAGGGGAGAGCTGAGATATTCACCTGGCTCAACATCTTGGACTTCTCGTCCAGAGCATCCAGGCCAGGGCCTTGTACACAGAAGCGATCAGTAAATACTTGGTAATTAATTGGCTGGCTGGGTTCCTGGCAGTCAGCCGGCCCCAGCTGACTCATCTCCACGTGTGGGAGGGGCCCTCTTGCCACCTCAGGCCTCGTCCTGGCTCCAGCCCCCTGGAAGGTTGGTTCGCCAAACTGGTGTGTGTCAGGACACGTATGTCCGTGACATTGCATCTTTGTGTCAAACGGGTCCTAGGAGTTTGGCTTGCTCAGCCAGCCGCAGGCCTATTGTTGTCTAGCCTGGGAGAAGGAGCCGAGGGAGGTGGCTTCTCCCAGGAGGAGTCCCGGCTCCCAGGCAATTGGCTACATGGCCAGGAGGACTGTGCTTTTTCCCAGGGGAACGTGAGCAAGTGGCCCTGATGTAATGTGGCCCAGACTCCCGGGGCGCGGAGCTGAGACGACCTGTGTGGTTTTCCATATCTCTGCAGGGGTACAGGCAACCTTTGTTCCATGAAATTGGGGATCAGAAGCCAGCTGGGGCACCTTCTGGAGAGCAGCTGGGTTAGAAGTCAGTTCCTTCTAGTCCACATCTCCTGAAGTCTGGGGCAGGATGGAGATGGATGTCGGGGAGTCTTGCCAGTCACACAGTAATTGTGATAGCCTATGTCTGCTGAATCTGAAGGTGCAGGAGACATATCCTGACCCTCAAAGCTCAGTTTCCAGACCCAGCTGGAGACATGGGTGTGGGGGAGAATTCACTTGCACACTCTCTCTCTCACTCTCTCTCACACACACACACACTCTGCCCAATCACCAGGCTCAGGCTGGCTTAACCAATACTCTTTCATCTGCCCACTCTTCCCTGGAGGAAGTACAAACGTACAATTAGCCTTCTCAGCCCCTTGCCTGGGCTCCTCATGGGACAGGCTCAGGCCACGGGACCATGTCAGTGGCTCTGTCCTTAGTCCTCCTATGAACAGAACCCAAAAGAGGAGACTTCTCTTTACTTCCCACCAGGAACATTCAGAGGGCAAAGCCCATGGGCTCCCCCGACTCCCACTCCCACTGTGATCCCTGGCTTCCTGTGTGCTGATATTATGCAAAGGCCGGCAGCAGACAGATGGATGTGGGAGGGTGCTCCCCCTCCACCCCTCATCACCCTCTCCTGCTCACTTTGTTGTCTGGGTCACAGGGAACAGGGCAGCTGGAGTGGAAAGCCAGCACTGATGTCAGAGCAAGAGGAGGCTGAGGGAGACGAGGAGAGGTAGGAGCCCGGGCCACAGCAGGAATGATTCAGGGTACAGGTGAGAGCCTAGGAGGCCAGGTTCTTGGGAAGGATGGAGAACAGCACCCACGCACCTGAGACAGGTGAGGGTCTCTGGATGTTGCAGCCTCCCCCGGATTGCTAAGGATCTCTCTGGTTTGGGGAGGTAGTGTTCAAGGATGGAAAATCTAACAATAACAACAAAAATGCCTACAATCCTCCAAAGTTGAGTTCCTCCATGAGCCGAGCCCTCAGTGACATTTAACTCGGTCTTTGCAACGACCCTCTAACGTGGGTGGGATTATCTCATTCCATAAATGAGGAACTGAGGCCCAGAGACTAAATTAAATGAGTTGTCCAAAGTCATACATCTGGGTTTCACATCCAGCTTTTGCCCAACTCTAAACCTGTGTCTTTTATACTTTTGGGTCATCGTTCTCACTGCTCTTACACACACACGCACACACTCACTCCCAGCATCCAATGCCCCGCCTCTGTACCTTCATGGATGGCGATGATGTGGGGGTGGTTGAGTGACGACATGATCTCGATCTCCCGCCGAATGTGCATCAGATCTTGCTCATCTTTGATTCTGTCTTTCCGGATCGACTTGACGGCCACCTGAGGACAGAGAACACGGGAGAGTGAGGAGAAAGGTCTGGCAGATAAAATAGCCCTGAAGACACTCTGGAGTCCTGGATCTGGTCTGCCTGCGCTACCACAGGGGCCACCGGTGCGCCCAGAGAAGCCACTCCCTCCGGCACCAGGGGTGGCGGCAGAGCAGCTGGGGAGCACCCTCTCCAGAGAAGGCATCCCCCGGGTTAGGTGCAGTCTGTGCTGCAGGAAGGTAGATGGGCCAATGACCATATTCAGTCTACAGAGCAACAAGGAAGGGAACGACCTGCGTTCGTAAGGCCAATGCCATTTGATTTATAAGCAAATTTACACCCTACACCGTGAAGACAAGGAGTGGGGCTGTTGTGCTCACCATTGGATGGAGAGCACAGTGCCTGGCACACAGGAGACACTGAGTCACACTTGTTACAGTAGTAAACGGAATGGCCCTCATGAAAATCTTGGGAGGTAGGTGCAGAACATATCATCAGCCCCATTTCCAGCTAAGGAAACTGGTACCCAGAGAGGTTAAACGACCTACTCAAAGTCACACTGTCAGTAACTGCACAAACTGGGGTTCCACCACTGACTGTGTGGTTTCCAGTCTGGTACTTTCCCCACCACAGTCCTCTAACTTGCTGTAAACAACCAGTCTCTAGCCAAAAGGTGGACACAACCCAAATGCCCATCAACAGATGAGTGGATAAACAAAATGTGGTCATCCATACAGTGGAATATTACTCAGCCATGAAAAGGAATGAAGTTGTGATACATGTCACAACACAGATGAACCTCGAAGACATTATGCTAAGTGAAAGAAGCCAGACACAAGGACAAACATTGTACGATTCTACTTATATGAAGTCCTTAGAACAGGCAAAGGCATAGGACAGAAGGTGGGATGGAGGTCACCAGGGGTAGGAGCAGTGGGGGTGGGGACTTGGGGAATTATCGTTTAACGGGTACAGAACTTCTTTTTGGGGTGATGAACAGGTTTTGGAAATTAACAGTGGTGGTGGTTGTACAACATTGTGAAGGTACTTAATATGTCACCGAATTGTACACTTAAAATGGTAAATTTCATGTTATATTTATTTTACCACACGCACAAAAATCGCCAACAAAAATTATGAGAAAAATACCAGTCTCTTTAGCCTAGGTAAGGAATGTCCCTCCCCCAACAACAAAAAACAAGCAAACAGCTAGCCAGTTCCACAGTGCTCAGCTCTGCTCCCGTCCTAAGGGTGGAACCGCCCACAAGGACCAGCCCCTCCGCGGGCTGTGGAGGGTCCAGGAAGGGCGGAGGGGCAAGAGGAAACGGAGACAGCTCCGCCGAGGCGCAGCCCAGCAAAGCTCTTGGAGACGCGCAGCCCGGCCCGCTGCTCCGCCCCCCGGGCAGGAGGTGACAGCGAGCAGGCGCTGCGCAGTCCCGTGCGCGAGTCCCCGCCCCTCGCGGAGCCTCCCTCGTCCCTTCTGTGAAGTAAACAGGCTGAACTAAGGGGTCCGAGGGCCTTCCCGCTCGGATTTCGGGAGCCGGGCCGCAGAGAAGCCGCGGCCGAGGCTGCGACGACAACGGGGGTACAGGTGCGGGGGGCGGGGCACGGGGCTGGTCAGACCCTGCTAAGTCCTGCCCAAGGACACGAAGGTGAACGCAAGACTTCGTCTTCACGGGAGAGGCAAGTTGTGGAAAATCAGAAGGCACAGACTGAGGTGAAGCGCTCCTCATTCACCTGCCCAGGAGGGTTTGCCTCCCCTCAAGGTCCAAAAGCAGGCGGGAGGAAGGAGACCGCCGGCCGCGGCAGGGCCCTAGCCCTCCCCTCCACAGCGCTCTGGAGGCACAGCGCGGCTTCCGGCTCGGCTGCGGACAGCGCTGGCCTGCGCTCCCCGCGACAGGAATGCGGAACAGCTAATCCGGAATCCGCAAGAGGAGCTGCTCACAATGCCCTGCCCGGTCACCCCGGCAACAGGCCAGGGATGGCTGCCCGCCGCCCCGCTCCCTCCCCGGAGCTGCCGAGCAGCGCAGGGAGGACAATGGCAGCGGGAGGGCTGGTCACCATGGAGCCTCCTCCCAAAGATGCTGGAGAGGCCCGCGCTGCAGCTGCAGGGGCAGAGCCGCCCCTCAGGCACCCCCAACCCCCACCCTGCCCCTTCTGCTCCAAACCTCACAAAGAGCAAGAAGGAAAATCCATGGCTTAGATGGGACAGAAGGTGGGGATGGGGAGGAAGGGGCTGGAATCAACTATGAGGATTCGACCTGGAGCATCACTCCGGCACACCTCTCTCTTCACACCCCTTTTCTCTCCCACAGGGGAGAGCTTATGGATTCCTTCTTTGCTCACTAACATTTGTTATTTTTAAAATGAGACAAGAGATAAAGTACTATGAACTCTTCAGATAAAGGGCCATAAAAGTTATATTAATAGATAGTAAAAAAAAAAAATCATATGTAGGGGCCAGCCCGGTGGCATAATGGTTGGGTTTGGGCTCTCCACTTTGATGGTCCCGGGTTGGCAGGTTCGGATCCCAGACAGGGACCTACATGCTGCTCATCAAGCCATGCTGTGGCAGCGTCTCATATACAAAGTAGAGCAAGACTGGCAGCAGATGTTAGCTCAGGGCCAGTCTTCCTCACACACACACAGACACACAAACTCATATGTAAATCACATATCTAGATAATGACACAGAACTATTTGAGAGCTTAAGATGCACACGTATGCAAAAACTCGGCACATCTCGGATGTACAATTCCGTACACACAAATGTATATAATAGTGAGATAAGTCATCATTGGCTTAGGGAGCAAACCCTAAAGAAGACAAGGCCTAAAAGAAATGAAGCTCCAAAAACATAAAGGGGTCTGAGTGGTGCTGGGGGGTCCCTGCATGAGTAGAAGGTACACAAGTCAAACCCCTAGATCCATTTCTTTCAATTCCGGAAGCCTCTGATTCTAAATCAGAATTGTTAATCCTCAACGGACAGTTCCACCCCCTGCAAGCTCGTGCTCTGGCCTCAGGGGGCTAGGTCAGGGGCCCCCAGTTATCTACATTATGTCCTCGGAGAGGACAGCGTGGCTGGCGTTTCCCAGGAAGGAAACAAGTTACATCACCAGGCCTTCACCAATCCGCAAGCACGTGACAGACAAGAAGAGTGATGTGTCACTGACGTTGTGGGGCTGGGCCCCTGCTCCCCAACTATCCCAGCCCCACGGGACAGGCCCCTGGCTATCTGCGGGCCCGCCTGGCAAAGCAAATTAGAAATGGCAACAGCTTGGGCTGAGACAGAGCTCCGCACACAGAAAGTATTCAACAATTGTTTACTGGTGAACACAGATCACAAATAAATACTTACTGGTTAAGTCACTGACTGATGGACCAGGGCCCAGATAAGATTTTCTGCCCTTCCAGGCGTGGGTGGGGAGTCAACCTCGGTACAGGGACTAATTCTGAGGGACCTTCGCTCTCATCTGCAAGAGTTGAGCAATCGTTCTCTAGAATAAAAACATACCAACTAGAGCCAAGGAGCAGGGCAACAATCGCTGAATGGGTCAGCCAGAGGCAGAGGGCCACATGCCCGAGACACTCCTGGCGCGTTCCAGTAAAAATGTTAATACTGCCTTTTCACTCTTCAGGGTATCCATGATTAGACAACATATTATACGGCCACCCCACTTAGAGGGGGCAGGAAGCCCAGGCACAATTATATGATTATGCAAATGTGAATACCAGAGCCGTGGAGTGGGTGTCAAGAGCCCCAGTCTCTCATCCTTACTCGCTTCATCCCCCTATTGAGCTACGCAACTCAAGACAAGTCACTTAAATGATCCGGTTAACTGGTTTGGCTAGTTTTAATGTCCTCATCTGAAAAAACGAAAGGGCGTTTATTCTCCAAACATCTGCCGAATACCTACTATGTGCCTGGTGCTAAGCTAGGTGTTGGGGATTCAGAAGAAAACTGGACAGTCCTTGCACCAAGGCCCTCGCTCCAGTGGGAGGACAGGCAATGAAGTCCACTCCAGTCTAGCGTGATGGATGTGGCAGTTTAGGTCCCTGCCCGCCCAGGGGCTCCAGGAGCACTGCAGAGGGCTTTCTTCGCCCGGAGGAGCAGGGAAAACCACCTCTGGGAGAAAACTTTGCTTTAGATCTTGAAGGATGAGGTGGGATTTGCCAAGCCAAGGAGGGCAAGCTAGGTAGGGGCAATAGGGGCATTCCAGGCAGAGAGAGAGGTTTGAGCAAAGGCCAGAGAGAAAGGAACCATTCACAGATTTGCACATGAAGCTCTCTGAGCTCCCTTCCAAACTCGAGCATTTTCTGCTGAGCTTCCGCAGAAATGACTCAGCTGCTACTGTGCCAGGAAGGTGCCAGCCAAGGATTGTTCTAACGGGCTTCTTCAGAGGCCCCACGCTATATGTCTGTTAGCCTGCCTGAGTGAAACTCCTACAGATCCTGGCCTAGGGATGTCCCTGCCCCTGCGGCCCTGCATGTTGGAAAGGCAGCAGACTCATGTCCCACTCCGTTTTGCAAATGGCACGCACTGAAGGCCACAAGGTGCACTGACTCTTCCGAGGGTTCCCAACACATCAGGGCAGTCGGGATCCAAGATGGAGGGGTGTTGCCTGGAGAAGCTGCCATCTCAGAAGACAAAAGTTCCTTGCAGACGCCCTGCCCTGCTTTCACCTCCCTGCCTCCCACCCCTGGAGAAGGGAAGGCGCCACACGCTGCTTGGGCCAGGCTGTGCAGTACCACCAACCACCCCTATCCCACTTACAGACATACAAACGTGCCGGAGACATGGGTGCTAGGGCTCAATTGCTTAAACACTGCCCCTCACCCGAGGAACTCAAATCAGGACTAATCTGGATTCAGGAGAAGATGGCAGAAAGGTCTTAGAAAAAGATCTAGAGGTGCTGGATCCAGATGCCAGCGGAAAGGGTGCAAGCTGGACATTTCTGGTCATAGTTATTGCCTGGAGTCGGAGCCAAGATCCTTGACTCCTCTCTGGCCTTTCACAGAGCAGCTGCTGCCTGGGAGGCGGGTCAAGGAGCTAGAGGATGACCCATTTAGATAACGGAGGAAAGGCTGGGCTGGGCAGAGTTGGGTAATGGGCCTGGGGGGTGGCTCACCATCCCCCCAAGCCTGCCAGAGAACCAGGCAGGAAGCAGGGTTCTGAGGGGAGTTGGGGGTGCCTCCCCTAAGCCTGCTGTGTGCCCACCCCTCCTTCCACTTTCTAGCCCTCTCTGCCAGGTTGCTGGGCAAGGCGCTTCCCTGCCCAGCCCTCTTGTGTGGTTTGGCCAGAGCCCAAGGACAAGAGTCGCCTGCAGCCGGAGCCTCCCTCCCTGCTGCTGAGCAGGCAGGTGCAGGAGGAGTTGGGAGGGCAGCCTCAGAAGAGGAGGCCTTCAGCAGCTGGCCAGGCGGGAACCCTTCTCTGGAGCAGGGGCTGAAGGAGAGACTAGGGCTGCGAACACAGCAGAGGCCAAAGTGGTTTGGCTTAAGGAAGCTGTGCACAACCTCGTCCTCTTGCTCAGGGCAGGACAGACCCAGGATGGGGGCCCCCAGGAAAGGGAGGGTAGGGCCTAGTCAAACCCAGCCTTGCTGTGATAGTAAGCAACATTGTGTGTGTCAGTTCCTGTGCCGAGCACTTTACATATATTTTCTTATTTAATCCTAGGAGAACCCCACAAGGTAGGAATTATTACAATCCCCACTTTAGAGAGGAGAAAACTGAGACACAGAGAGGTCACACAGCTTGTAAGCAATAGAGCCAGGACTGAACCCTTGCAGTCTGACTCTGAGCTAAGCGGCCTTCCTGACAGGTGAAGACCAGGAACATAGTGTGGTTCATCCACTCAGGATCCCCCAACAGTCAGCATGGGGTGGTGGGGGCTGGCACCCAGCAACTCGTCCATCCTCAGCCCTGCCTGGAGCTCTGGGAGGCGGCTGGAGCCAGCTGTTGGGATGACAAAGCACACCGAGGCAAGCCCGGGCGCAGCACAAGGCCAGCTCCCAGGCCGAGACTCAGTATCGGTCACCCAGGGCCTGTACTGGTCCAGCAGGACAGTATGTTGCAGGAATGCCACTAAACAGTCACAGAACAACTCACGTCCCCTCTCTGGTCCTCAGTTTCCCCATCTGTCAATGAAGGAATAAGACCATCTCAGTCATTTTCAAACATCTGGGAATCCCACACCGCAATCCAATACATAAAAGAGACAGAAGGACCCCTGCTCCAGAGCACTATCCACTTGGACCCCCTGTGCTCCTTACAGCACCCCTCGGATGTAGGACTTCCATGCAGTCATGCCAAAGGCTTTGGTGGACTCCACCATTCCAAGGACTGCAGCAGGTGTTTTTTTCTTTAGAGGGAGGGGCACTCGGGAGCTTGGGAGAGTCACAGGAGGAAACGTCATTTAGATACCAGGAATGTACTTGGAGTCTAGAAGATCCAGAGCAAATATTTGTTTTTCCTTTGATGCCCTCCTGGAGTAGCCATTAGTCCTGCCCGCCTGCCCCTTCCCCTGGACAGTCCCGTCACGCCCCTGATAATGTCATCGAGGCAGGTTAGGAATGGGAAATATGCCAGAAAGGGGGTAGAAAACTGGGATGGGAGCCACTCAGCAGGCTTTCCTCTGAATCTAGCCCCTGCCAACAATCTCGGTCCATTTTGAGGGAGGTCTTGGACCACTCCCATGCCCCTCTGCCCTACTAGAGATCCTGAGGCACCAGGTCACTTTCTTTTCAGGGAGGACAGTGAAGAAGTAGGAATGGGGGTGGAGAAGAGGACTCCTCTCCAGAACTGAGAAATCATCAGCACAGCAGGCAGCTGCTCTCCAAGGAGGAGGGAGACCCCCGGGCAAGTTCCCAGCAGAAGGACAGGGTGGTCTAAGGATAAGGGAGGTTCAGAGCAGGTCCCTTTCCTACTGATCTTGGCTCCCTGCAGAAAACAAGAGGCATGGGGCCAGGAAGCACCTTCTGAATTCTCTCTGTTCTGATGTAATAAGAGCTGGAATTCCTGCCTACAGCCACTCAGGTTTGAAAACTGAAAGCCAGTTTATCTCCTCCCAGAATCAGAGATCGATCTCTCTCTCTCTCTCTCTCTCTCTCTCTCTCACACACACACACACACACACACAGAGGCACGCACCTGTGCGCAGTGACCCAGGTCAAGAGTCTGATGGGATCTCTGAACTTAAATCTCAGTTTCCCAGTGTCTGGGCCACCCCAGTCCCCCGAACCCAGTATGTCCCCTAGCAAGAGGCACAAGCCACGAGCAGCTCTTTTCCAGCTGAGCCCCTGACCAAGCCTGGAACCTCACCCGGCCCTCACACTTCATAGAAAGAGAAAGAAAAGGAAAGCCAGGAAGTACACGATTGCCCAATAGCTGTAACCTGGCAGCGGGCAACTGGGGACTGTGCCAGGAGTTAGCAGGAAAAACATTCTCGGTCCTATTGATGGGGCCATAATCCACCCCCTTTTTCCAGCATCCACTTTCCTTCACCAATGAAATGACTTCTTGAATTTCAAACCAGCTACTGGCTGCAAAAGCAAACAATCTGGGGAGGTGACTGCTGCCACAGCCGACAGGGCAAACCGTGGCCACACACACACACGCCTCTCAACCAGCACCCACCGGGATTGGAGAAATGATCCCTAGACCATCTGACCTAAAAGGCTTGTTATATACAGATTATTTGGCCCCATCCTAGATTTTCAGAATAAAATCCTCTGGGTGTGGAACCAGAGACTAAGCAGTTTAAACAAGCACCGCTGGCGATTCCTACGCACATTAAACTCATTTGCTAACTGACTTTCGGCAAACCTGACATCCTTTCAGCTGGCCTTTCCACATATAAATATCCGTTCTCACTGTGGGTTCTATGTGTCAGAAACAATTTAAATTCACGTTTGTATCTCATTCAGTCCTCATTGCAGATTGTGAGGGAGGCCGTGTCTTCTTCATTTTTGCAGAAGGGGAAAGAAATAAAGTAAATTGTGCAAAATCGCACAGATTATTACTACCACCACCACACACACAGCCACCAAATTAACAGGACACATTCCGGAAAAGGCCCCAAACCCAAAGGTGTCTTGGGGCACAGTGAACCTTGCCCCAGAGCCTGGTTTCACATTTCCCAGACTGAAACACCTGTCATAATGAAACTTGGACCCAATCTTAGACCTGGAAAGGACCTAAGTGTCAAACTCACCCCCACCCCACCCTGAGCAGACCTCCGTAGACTGCTGGGCTGCCAGACTATAAGGACGGAGTTGAAGAACTGGACACCTAGTCCATTCAAACAGCCACACACACATTTTTTAACTCCCAGGAAAATGAGGCACTTTCTACTTCCTCTTCCCATTCTACTCTCTTGGATAGCCTGTTGTAAGTAAGATTCAACTGAAGCCCCATCTTCTTTAGGGAGCCTTCTCATCCCAAGACAGGGCACCCGGCGCCAACCGTCCTCTCACTTATTTGGCTGACCGGTGTTGGGGTTCTCAGGTCCACGACCATTGTCCCTACAAGCATGGCCAGACAGACCTGCAATGGATACCTCCTCCCCCCACCAAACACACACACACACCCTCAGCATGGTAAAGACTGCTGCCCACTCCACCGAGCAAGGCACTAGCCCCCGGCGCAGCCCGTCGCTCAGCGCCGCGGCCAAGCCCGCCCGCCCGCGCCGAGAGGAAGCCGCACTCACCAGGCGCCCCGCGCTCTCCCGCGCCTTCTTCACCTTCCCGTAGGTGCCCTTGCCCAGGGTCTCCAGAAACTCGTAGCGGTGCCGCAGGTTGTGCTTGTGGTGGTGCCGTTTCACCGCCTGCTTCTTCATCGGCGGCTTGGGCGACTTGATGAGCCCGTCGGCCAGCGGACGGCCGAGCTCCGCGTCCAGGGCGGTGGCGGCCGAGGGGGCCGGGCCGAGGCGCCGAGGGAAAGCCCGCGACTCCATGGCGAGCAGGACGGGGACAAGGCGGAGCGGGAACCGGCGGCGCGGGGACAGCTGGAGGCCGGAGCACGCGTCCCGCGCCTGCGCCCGGACCCCAGCCGCACCGGAGCGCTAGGAGAGGCGCCGCGTTCCGAGTTCTTATAAAGGCTCCGCCACGGCCTGGCCACGCCCCCCGCGCCCATTGGCCTGCTCGCTGATTGCGCGTGATCAGGGCCGCCCACATTGGCTCGCCCTGGCCTCCGGCCCCGCCTCCTCCCTGCGCGTGTCCGGGAAAGGTGTCAATGGAGCCCCGCCTACCTGGGCCCCCGGGGGCATAGGCATGGGGAACAGAAGACACCAGCGGAGGCTGTTTGGCAGCTTGGTACTACTGGGGTCTGGAACCTTTGAGGGGCCTTGGAACTGCTCTGGCCTCTGAGGGGCTCTTGGTCCTGGTTGGAGCCACCTGTTGTCCTTCTATTGTGTTTTCTGTTAGCAAAGGACAATCTGACGATCTGACTATAGGTCACCAAAGTATTTCTCCATCCTGAGTAATCTGCTTCTCTCAAGCTAAAATCTAGCAAGTCATTGGACCACTTCTTTAGGGCATAAGGAGAAAGGGGGATGGAATGGGACGGAAGCAGTCTCCAGCCAAGTGGGAGGGCTGGTGGAGAGCTGTCCCCAGGTTCTGAGTTCACCTGTCTTCGGTTAGATCAATCTTAATTGGATCCCAGAAATGCAATTCTGGAAAGTTCCTACCGCTTTATCAAAGAAGGCTTCTAGGATTGAGTGGGTCCCTCAAGATGTGCTGAAATTTATGAAGTGATGGAAGGAGGTGGAGAGAGCCAAAAGGAAATATTCGTTCATTAAAAAACATTTTACACAGCTATTATTTAACTTGTGTCCCCACATCTGTAAATAGTAGCCCACCCAAGGTTTTCCTCCCTGTGATTTTGGAATCAGGAGAACTGGTGGTAGGTCCCTAAGTTTGGCTTGGTTTTTAAGGCCTGGAGCACTAGATCCAGAATCCTCATTCTGAATGTCATTTAGAGTGAAATGAGAATACCCATAGGCTCTCCTCCTCCCTGTGGAGTGTAACGGGGAGACAGGAATATTCCCCTCGAGTCTTCATGATAACCCAGTCCTGTGAAGTGGGTATTATTCTACTGAAGGCCACACAACTGGTAAGAAACTGGCAGAGCTGGAATTCAGACCCACCCCCCCCCAGGAGGATGGTGCCTCCAGCTGTGTATTCAGGACATGCTGAGGACCAAGAAGGGCTAGATCCCCAGGGACTGAATTTTGTATTTAGTGTCTGCCCACTTTCCCACTCCCACTGATCCTTTGATCCTTTCTAGTGTGAGTTAGGGATGGAGAATAGGGCTGGAGGGTCTGCTTGTGTAGGAAACCTATCCCTTCCCCAAATGTGGAGG